GCGGGGCCGGAGAGGAGCCCCGGCCTTTCTGCCGCGCCGCCCGTCACCGAGCCTCGTCCTGCGAGCGCCGCCGGTTTACCCCGAGGCGTGCCTGTGTGCGCGTTAACTCGTGGAAGGGAGCGCCGCGTGGCTTCCCACGTTACTGACTGACGCAGTGGGATTTTCCCAGAAATACTTACGTGGGCTGTTAGTTTTCACAACGTTTAACGTTTCCCGCCGTATATTTTAAATATTTTGCCAGTTTTCGTCGTGTGGTCAGCCCTACTGCAAAGATGGTCAACGTGCCTAAAACCCGAAGGACTTTCTGTAAGAAGTGTGGGAAGCACCAGCCTCACAAAGTGACCCAGTACAAGAAGGGCAAGGATTCCCTGTACGCGCAGGGGAAGAGGCGCTACGACCGCAAGCAGAGTGGCTACGGGGGGCAGACGAAGCCCATCTTCCGGAAGAAGGCCAAGACCACGAAGAAGATTGTGCTGAGGCTTGAGTGCGTGGAGCCCAACTGCAGGTCCAAGAGGATGCTGGCCATCAAGAGATGCAAGCATTTTGAACTGGGAGGAGATAAGAAGAGGAAGGGCCAAGTGATCCAGTTCTAAGCTTTGAGATTCTTCTCTTATTTTTGAGAGGAAGAGGTTGAAGCCATAGAAAAATTACCTGTATGAAAATAAATGTTGATAGTCTTACTCAAGTCTTTTGTGTTTTTTGAAATATAAATAGAATGGCATACTTAATGTGCTTCTAAATTAAGGAAATAGTAAATTATTTGTAGGTGAATTAAGGTTTGTCCTCGTCTCAATTTCTCATTTAAATGTAGTTCCACAAGAATTGGAATTTTGTATTTATTCATAAAGAAGACAGGAGTCCTCCCTCAAACTTTACAACTGGGTTATGGAGATATATAGCAGGGAAAAAAAACTGAGACTTCACTTTTTTCTGGTCGATTTCAAATATATGTGTTGGGTGAATTCATAATCATGAGGGATGAACTGCTGGGAAAGGTCTCAATCAAATTTTGAAAAAAAGTAAATGAAGAGGATAAACCAGGCCTGTATATAGCACACAGGGTGAGGCAGAGGATCCAAGTTGGGGAATAAGAAGAGCTGACTTGTTGCAAATTGTGCTGTCCGGCAGGGACCACTAGCCACACGTGGCTAATGCCTATCCTATTGGACAATACAGATACAGAACATTTCTGTCAGTTTTTTTGGACACTAGTTTTAGACTGTGGTCTTGAAGGAAAAAAATTGACGACTTATAACTACAAAAAGTTCTAAAGCTAGTCATGAGTCCATGACAGCATAAACTTTGTTGCAACTTTTAGAACATACTCTGGGAGGTTCTCAAATGTTACAACTTCTTGAGTATTGGGAGGGTTGAGGAGGTAAACGGGACTGAAAATAGAATGGAAGGTTGAAACTCAGAATTAAAGAAGTGAACCTAGTAATTACCTACAAAAGAAAGAAAGAAAAGTTGAGTATCAAATGAAAGGAAAAATAAATGAAAGGGGTATGAGTTATGAGGACAGGAAAATCTTTTTGTATATGACTTTTGAGTCACCTGCGAGTTACACGGGGATGGCTTGTACATGTGTAGCAAGAATGCAAAGGGCTAGTGCGTAGGAGTAACAGACCGTTAGCACTTATTCCCAACACAGACTATTATATCTGCATTTGTTGATAAGACTTTCTACAAGAACGTGTAAAAATCAGATATGCACAAGGTAAATGCCACAAAACATCGCTTTTTAAAGAACCTTTTTTTTTTTTTTTGGGTGAGGAAGATTGGCCCTGAGCTAACAACCGTGCCAATTTTCCTCTATTTTGTATGTGGGATGCTGCCATGGCATGGCTTGATGAGCAGTGTGTAGGTCCGTGCCCAGGATCTGAACCTGCGAACCCCAGGCCGCTGAAGCAGAGCGTGTAAACTTCACAGCTATGCCACTGGGCCAGCCCAAGAACCATGTTTTAATGTGATTTTATAATATTTATGGGCAATCCCTCACCAATTTATGACTTTAGAAAATCCTAACATATTACTTAGTAACAGAACTCTTGGTTTTAAAGACCAAAACTGAATTAACTTTAGAAGGCAGTATAAAGCCTGGGCTAAAAATCTGATCTGGGTTCATGGTACCTCCCTCCTAGGGTGATTTGTGAGGATTAAATACAATACTGTATATAAAATACCCGGAACAAAGTAGGTACCAGAAAAATGGCAGCTCTTTTTATTTAAGGTATGTGTGTACTATATATAATTTTGTAAGTGAAAGACTAGAAAGAATATCTTTTGCAAGAATTTAACTGACCACTAGCCATAGAAACCTAAGGTCACCCAAAGAATTACTCTTCTGGACAATGTCGTCTCAATCAGCTCTGAGAAGAAACTAGGTTTTGGAGATCATATACAGGAAATTTTAATAAAAATGTTCTAAGATTTAAACAGTATTTACTCAGGAATACTTTTATTTTCAGAAAAGAAAAAAAATGCCCCAAATGACAAATGTTTTAGGAAGACAAAGGAGGTAGTAGTTAAGCCGTAGGAAATGGTCTTATATAGACTCCACCGCTCACTCCAAGGCCACAGAGTAGTGACATGCTAACACTGGAGAGGCTTTCCTCCAGTCACTTTCTCTTGTCCCTCCTTGTTTCCAGAACCAGTTAAGGGACTACTGCAGTGAGCCAGGAGGGAGGCTGGTCTGGAGAAGGGCAGTGGGAGTGAACAGAGTGAAACAGTTCTACTGACCAAGTTCCACGATTCTTTCAAGTTCGTTCCTTCTCTCTTCCCTCTGCCCTAGTTCAAAGTCTCATGTTCCTTTAGCTGGTGTATTGCCACCACTTTTACATATTAAGTTACTAAAATAATAAACAGAAAAAGAACAACCCTCAAATAATACAGAATGTAGTCAGTAAAAAGTAGCAATTTTCTGCTCCCACCCAACCATAAAACCTTGTTCCAACCCTAAAAATTAAAAAACTTAGAAATCACAACAAAGATTACGTGATTAACATTATAAAACTTATAAAAGCTGAAGTCTGTCCCAAAGCAACTCCTACTTTATGCCTGGTGAATATAAAATTCCATTTGTAGAATATACTTGAAAAACACAAAAAGTGATATGCTAAAAATTTATATGTAGTTTCATACCAAACAAGTTTTCACTATAATTTAGACCATAGTCTTCCAAGGTATATTTTCTGCATACAGAAACTCAATTTCTTTAATTGAAATGCAAGAAGAAAGTTGATAAGAAAATTCCATGACCAGAGTGATTGGGATCAATATCTGTTTAACGTTAAAAGACAACCCACAACCCATTCTGAAAACACTAGGCTGAAATCAACACAAGTGCAATAAACTGATAAAAAGTTACCCCACAATAAAATTAATCAGGTTTTAATGGAATTAAGGTTTTACAAATAATTGAAAATGTTAGAATAACACACATTCTTCCCCTCAAGCAAATAAACAAAAGCTTCCCTTTCTCCAATTTGACAGTTAAACCATAAATGAATCCCAAAATGATCGGTAACTAAATGAAATTTCTTTCTGTGGTGTCACCTATTACTTTAACGTATCACAGGAATTTACGTAACAGGCTAGAGAACAGAAGTAAGAGATGACCGGTGCTTCAGTACCCCCCATGTTATCTACTAAGACCACAGTGTGAGCAACAGAGTGTAGATTCATGGTAGAAGTTCCTTGAATAAAACAGCTTAGACAAAATTTTCCACAAACACAGGTTTTTGCAGTATCCAAATCTTCGCAAAGATGGAAAGGAATGATATGAGAGCCATATGGAATCCTATTGGAAAAAAATGTTGAGAAAATATTTTTAATATGTTATGAGATGTAGAACTTCACATACAGTAGTTCCCCCCCTTATCAGTGGGGGATACATTCCAAGACCCTCAGTGGATGCCTGAAACCGCAGATAGTGCCGAACCCTATATATAACGTTTTTTCCTATACATAGATATTTGAGATGTGACAGCAAAACAACCTTGAATTTCTTTTTCCTTCTCCACAGTTTCACAAATAGATTTGTTAACATAGATCTTAGCAACCTCAGCATACAATTTTTTTCCTTTCCTTATTAAGTCGAGAACTTTCACCTTTTCACTTAAAGGAAGCACTTTACAGCTTCTCTTTGGCATATCCCAGTTACCAGCATCACCACTGTTGCACTTTGGGGCCATTATTGAGTAAAATAAGGGTGACTTGAACACAAGCACTGTGATACCCGAGGGTCGACCTCATAACCCAGATGGCTACTAAATGACTCATGGGTGGGTGGCTTATACAGTGTGGATCCGATGGACAAAGGGATGATTCACATCCCAGGTGGGAAGGAGCCAGTCAGTGGGAGATTTCATCACGCCACTCACAACAGCACACAATTTAAAACTCATGAATGGTTTATTTCTGGAATTTTCAATTTAATATTTGGACCACAGCTGACCACAGGTAACTGAAACTGTGCAAAGCAAAGCCGTGGATAAGGGGGACCACAATATTAGGACGTGAATTACTGGGCACTGAATTATAACCATGGAAAAATAAAATTACTCAATTAACCGACTCAGTATATTGCTTTATCTTTCAAACTGGTAAGAATGGGGAAAATACACTAATAAAACAGCATATGACATATTGTAAACCAGAGAGGATCTATATCACTTCATAAAGTATCTTTTAGCATAGTCACTTAATAGCATAACTCATTGACTAGAATGAGTCATCTGTGCTGTATATAATTATACTGTATGACCAGTGTAACATGATAATTTAAATGTATAGCTCTGTCATATAATTCTCTTCATGGTAATGGGAGAATTACTGAGTTCCATCTGTGAAAAAAACATTTATTTAAATAAATCCATATACTCTCCTATGCATCAATTGTTCAAAATGGAGTTTTAAACCGTGTGTAACAAATTTAAAACACGTGTTGTTTGGGGCATTAGTTTTAGTTTACTGGCTGAGCAAGTAAGGCTCACCTCACCTTGCTTCGATCATTCACCCTCCTGCTTAAAGCTTCAGTGGTGCCCAGTGCAATTAAAATCAAGTCAAACTCTTTGCCCTCATGTACAAGACACTAAGACACGATCTCCCGAGATTGTCTGCCCACTGCCCAACTCCTCCCCACTAAACACAACCATGCCCCAGTCACACTGTCTCTCCTACACACTGTCTTTTCTTTGTTGTTTCTCTGCGGCCTGGCCTAGGCTGGCACATATAGGTGTTCAGATCTTTTTCAATAAATAAATAAAACCTACTCTTATAGTTTAAAACGGAGTTTAAACCTTATTAGAAAAGTCTCAAAGGATGTACATCAAATCAAAAAGAGATTTACTTTTCGTAAGGGATTTGAGATTGGCCTTGTTTGCCATTTTTCATTTTTTCATATGTACTAATTTGTTGCTTATGTAAGTAACAATTTTTTAAAAACTGCCAGGAAGTGTCTACTATGTGTTTACATTAATTTCTTTCAAGCTATTGGATATAGTCTAAGGAAACAGGCAATAGTTAAAAACTATATTTCCTATCTACCATAATTTAAATTCCCAAATATTTTTTAAATAGGCCATAACTTTATGTTTGTAACCAGTAGTTTTACGACAATTTACCAAGAGCTAGATAATAGGTATTATTCTTATGGCTTTGGATCTATATTCTTTTTAAAACAAGGGGGCTGAAAACATGCAAAATTATACTTTAGTAAAGGTTAGGGTCACCTTATAAGAACTTACATTAATAGAGGTCAAGTTTAAAAAAACAATAAATACTACAATGCTATATCATTCAGCACTAACCAATTATTTTTCTGCCTTATCTATTATATCACATTTTGATCATCTATTTTTTCCTTCCAACTCTGCACTTTCCCATGTTGGATGTCAGTCTGCGTTTTTTGATCATTTGGCCAATTTGTTATGGTCTTTTCAAATTATCAGAAACCATTTACAATATTTCTCATTTGGACATAATTTTCAAATTTGAATAAATATATATATTTTTTCACATATAAGGCTCAGAGAAAGTATAGAACAAGAGCCTCGGGAGCAACTCATTGCTAAAAGACACCGTTTAGAGTTCCCTCAAATCAGTTGTCTTACCCTGGATCATCAGTATCACTTCTGGAGATTTTTAAAATCTATGTCATACAATAGGGGCCCATCTCTGGAGATTCTGAACTAGTTGATCTGAGGTAGAATCTAGGCATCTATATTTCTCATGTTATTTAAAAGCTCCTCCTGGGGCCGGCCTGGTGGCGTAGTGGTTAAGTGCTCGGGCTCTGCTTCTGCGGCCCGGGGTTCGCAGGTTCAGATCCCTGGGCGCGCACTGATGCACCGATTGTCAAGCCATGCTGTGGCAGCATCCCAAATAAAGTAGAGGAAAATGGGCACAGATGTTAGCCCAGGGCCAGTCTTCCTCGGCAAAAAGAGGAGGATTGGCATGGAGGTTAGCTCAGGGCTGATCTTCCTCACAAAAAATAAATAAATAAAAATAAAAGCTCCTCCACAGCTAATAACAACATTGATTGATTTTTAATTGCCAGATAAGCAAATTACATTTATACATCTAATAAATATTTTTGAGACCTATTATGAGCCAGGCACTGTTCTAGGCACTTACATGTACTGTCATTTAACAGGTAATTTTTTTTTTAGGAAGATTAGCCCTGTGCTAACATCTGTTGCCAATCTTCCTCTTTTTCTTTTTTTCTCCCCAATGCCCCAGTACACATTTGTATATCGTAGTTGTAGGTCCTTAACAGGTAATTTTTAACTCCTAGTTAAGAGTCAATGTCTTAAACCAGTGGTTCTCAAAGTGAGGTCTGCTGTCCAGAAGCATCAACATCACCTTGGAACTTGTTAGAGATGCACTTTCTTCAGCCCCACTCCAAATTTACTGAATAAGAATCTCTGAGGGTGGGGACCAGCAATCTGCTTTAATAAGCATGATTCTGATGCACTCTCAAATTTTGAGGACCACTGCCTTAAAACAACAGTGAATCCTTAGTTACTTTTAGAGCCTTAGTACTCAAAGTGCAGTTCATGGACTAGTGGCCTCAGCCACACCTGGAAGCCTGTTTGAAATGCAGGATCTCCACCCCAGACATCTGAAACAGAGTCCACTGACGAGACTCCTGGGCAACTGGAATGCACAGTAGAGTCTGAGAAGCACTGGTATAAAGCAGTGGTCTTAATCCTGGTTAGCTGTACATTAGAATCACTGGGAGATTTAAAAAAATACTGGTCCTGGGCCGGCCCCGTGGCTTAGCGGTTAAGTGCGCACGCTCCGCTGCTGGTGGCCCGGGGTTCGGATCCCGGGCGTGCACCGACACACCGTTTCTCCGGCCATGCTGAGGCTGCATCCCACATACAGCAACTAGAAGGA